TCACAATACGTACGAACGTGTATATATTCATTTACTCTTGCATGCATATTGGTTCTATGCCAATGTCGTTTAAGGCCCAATAATGTCGTCAACTTCATCTTCACCAATGAGGGCGATACTTTCAAGTAGAGATGACAATTCACATAGGACCAATGGATCTTCGGCTTCATTTTCCAATTCTCGGTCCATAGCGACAACATCAACAGCACTCAGCAAAGCGCGGGTCGATTTATACACATCACATAGGCACTCGACGTTCCGATGTAAGCTCCCTTGTCTGGCCAATTTGTCTTTTGACATGTGTGGAACCTTGTATGAGTTGTCGCCACCAACTTTGAGGGTCTCGATCAAGCAACACTGCAAGGCCGTATGGGTATTTGTCGAACGCTTCCAGTACGTGCATCACCAGCTCATCAATTGAACGCGCAGACTTTCGATGTTGTAGGGACTGCAGGGCCGCAAAGAAACCAAGGTCAATAAATGTTGGCATCCGGGGAGTTGGGAGGCTGTGGGGCAAGCTGGAACGTCCAGCCCAGGGTGCTGTAGCGGTCGAACTCCGTTCGCAGTTGCATGTCGGACGTCGCAACGTGGGCGCGAGCGTTGTCGTGTTGAATGATGATGGGAACGTTTGACTGCGGCCATACCTTGACCACAGCAGGTAACACCTTGTTGATCAAGAAGGACCGGTACACATTATTGGTGACGACCAAGGGTTTAGTTTCTGGCGTTCCTGCATGGCGGTTCGAGCTTGTGCGCTGTGTCAGCACTGTTTCCACAAACGGCCACGTGCCAATTTTGCCTGTCCACCATGTCCCGTCGTCATCGTTGAGCCGCGGCCGCGCAACGGCTGTGAAGAACATGACTTTGGTCAAAAAGCGTTTGCTCTTGCACTTTCGTTTGGGTTCACTCTCGCCGGGCACAAGATATTACTTACGACTCGTCTTGGTGACATATAATCATTTCTCATCAATATGCACGTAGTTCAGAAGCTCATCAAGCTCCATATCTTGGCGCACAAAGCTCATCGCGAACTTTAAACGGCTGTATTTGTTTGCTGAGGTCAACACTGGCTTTATGGCATTTGAGTGAGACCGGAACATACCCATCTTGAGGTAGCAATGTAGGGATCCCCGGCTTATGCCTGTTATGTGGAATTTATTTAACAATGTCGTTTATACAAGGTTATGTCAATGTATTCATACCAGTGTGAGCAGATATGGAGCACAGTGTCGTACGATTAGCCAGAGGGACTTGTAAAAGCTTAGCTTTAACCTCAGCTGCTGTAAATGCATACTTTCGGCCAAATTTGCCTTGCTTTTTGCTTGAAACTGACACGTTCATGTTGCCTTCGGCAACACCCTGGCTCTTTGCACGAGCGAGCACTTTGCGGATCGTTGCAGGGTGGCAATTGTATTTGTCAGCAAGATACTTACTAAATCGCAAAGCGGCATCGGTTGACCACATCGTTGTCAAAAACGGTCGCGAATCAATCCTAAGGATCACGCAAGAATACCGTTCAGCGGACGTTTACAGTGCGCGCAATAAGTATACACCAGGAGGAAATTTCAGTCCCATGATGCCAATCAATTCGTCTTCTTATGCCAAGACGCGTCGCCTGCATTCGAAACTCAAAGCGTCGACAAATTGTGCTAAGAAGTCCCAGAACTACTAATGCATTAA